ATAAATAAATCTTCTTGTCACCATGTTCAGTATGTAATAACCCATAATGAGAGGGCCTAAAAATTCACCTAAACAACAAAGCCTACTATGATGGCCAAAAATCTGCCAGGGCTGTCTTACACTTAATGGACTGAGACTTATGATCAGTGCATACATCAAATCATAATGGATAGTAAATCATATAAAGTATATAAAATAGCCACGTCAATGAAAATTGCTATTAGTTTCTTAATAGTGTAATTCATATATATTTTAAAGGCAAATACAAATACTACTATGATGTATACAAATGTACTTTGTAATTTAAATGCATCATCCTTTGAAAAAATTGGGTAAAAGGTTTATACACACCTCTTATAATGATATTGATTTTCAGTACTTCTCTTTCAGTGGTTTTCTAGGAAATGAATGAATGCTGATTTTTATTTATTCACTTTTAATGTTAACTAAGAATACAGTAAATGGAACTGAGGAAAGAATACTGTTCTATTCAAATCTTTGCCATTTGTTGCTGAAGTGTTGTCCTCAAATGAACAATACAGCAAAAATTAATTAAATAAGACTTAGTTGTTTTTAAGAACATACTGCGTACACCAATTTTTATTAATAAAAATATAACTACTTGCACAAGCACACTGAGAGAACAGTACAGAAATATTCGGACAGTATTTTCTGCAAAATTAAGAAGGTGCAGAAGCATCCACCAAAATATAAGCTGCATTTATCCAATGAGAAATAATTAAATTGGCCACTGAACAAAAAGGGCCTGTTTGTTTCATCTGGATCATATGAAACTTTTTTTAGCGTGCTAATAAACAAGCTGCACCATAACAATATATGAATAGTTTGTCTTTATAATTACAAAACCTCTTCTGTTAATACTATCTACAGATAATTATCTTCATTTCAGTGTATCTTTTACCATGTTAAGCTAACAAAAAAAATTAATTGCTTTCAAATGAGTTTACACAATTAAAGGTGTAAATGTTTGTCTTCTTATAAAGAAGATTTGCTGTGAACATGCTTGGGTGTTGAACAGTGCTCTCAGTAAATGAGTAATGATAAATGCAATCTTTGCAGAGCTTTGATGAATATGAAATCCCAAAGCACAATTTAAAAAAATCTCAGTCCTTTTAAGCCTGCCCTAGTGAACTTGAACAGCTTGTAATCCTAGAATCATTGTGCTTTGGAATTTAAGATTAGTTGAATTTTAGTTGATTAGTTGTTGAACTTCATATTTATCAATTATCTCCCAGTACAGATGACAGTCTTTTGAAAACTTTAAATCATCTTGCATTTGGCAAACAAAGTAGTCATGAGTTTGGCACATTCACAATTGTAACATTTCAGTGCATCGTTACTTTTGGAGGGTAGGAGGAGTGCTTATTGCATTCGGTAATGGTGCATGGGCAGTCGTTATTGGCAGTCTCCTCTCAGTCTCTATATGATTTTCCCATACATGCCTGACCCAGCAACCCCTATTCACTCTCTCCTCCTACTTCTCTCCAAACAGTTTCAGCGGTTTGTGTACTACAGCTCTTTAGGCACGGGCTATATGGCTACAATTCAGTCTACATCAGGCATTCCACTGCATTATGCACAGGCTCCAGAAAGCATGCTTAGGCAGAATATCAATCATTCTATCCGCTACCAAAATAAGACAAGAGATTTCATTAACAACCATTACTCAAATAGAATAGAAAAGCAAAGAATCTCCCAAACAAGGGCTCTCCCATACTGTTGCCTCTAAGAGACATATTGCCATCTTCCTTTAAACAGAGGTTACGATTGTTAGCAGCTAAACGATTGCTTCCGAGTTCAGATCTTTGGGAAGAGGGGTGGGATTTGAAGTAGCAGAAACATTCCCTTGTTGCTAATCCGTTCCCAGAGGAACACTTTAAAACGATTTACTAGGATGCTGGGTATGTGCATTATGAGTTTGGCACATTCACAATTGTAACATTTCAGTGCATCGTTACTTTTGGAGGGTAGGAGGAGTGCTTATTGCATTCGGTAATGGTGCATGGGCAGTCGTTATTGTCCAGGAGCTGGAATGGTCTGCTGAGGAGGGCATAATCTGCCCTAGAGGGGCAGCACAAAATCTGGCTGTGCCCACAACGCATGCCTGCTGCCGCCTGCAGGGGGCGAACTGGGCCCAGCCATCTGGTCGCCTGTGGGAATCTGCTTGAGAGGAAGAATACGCTGTGCTATCCATCACTGCCAAAGCTCTTTTTGCCAGAGCAGAACAACACTGAAATTGCATTCCTCCCTTCAGCAGCATAGAAATGCATGGCTGCATCCAAGCACAACACACACTTACTTAACTCTTGGCACAAGTTATATATGCAGGGGAGGGGACATGCTTACGACGGGGTGTTTGTGTGTACATGCATTGGCAAATTTGCACATGACATGCAACCAGTGAGAGTAGCAGCATGAGTAAAAAGCACACATGCAGCACGATGAGTGTGCGCGTGATATAGCGGCAAACAGCATGCCCTGAGCTCAAGGCAGCTTGCTTTTGTCTGGGGCAAACAGCACAACATTACATCGTCCTCAGCCTCGATATGGATTTCCCATACATGCCTGGCCCAGCAACCCCTATTCACTCTCTCCTCCTACTTCTCTCCAAACAGTTTCAGCGGTTTGTGTACTACAGCTCTTTAGGCACGGGCTATATGGCTACAATTCAGTCTACATCAGGCATTCCACTGCATTATGCACAGGCTCCAGAAAGCATGCTTAGGCAGAATATCAATCATTCTATCCGCTACCAAAATAAGACAAGAGATTTCATTAACAACCATTACTCAAATAGAATAGAAAAGCAAAGAATCTCCCAAACAAGGGCTCTCCCATACTGTTGCCTCTAAGAGACATATTGCCATCTTCCTTTAAACAGAGGTTACGATTGTTAGCAGCTAAACGATTGCTTCCGAGTTCAGATCTTTGGGAAGAGGGGTGGGATTTGAAGTAGCAGAAACATTCCCTTGTTGCTAATCCGTTCCCAGAGGAACACTTTAATAAGATTTACTAGGATGCTGGCTATGTGCATTTATTTATCATCTTGCTCAGTCTTTCACACTGCTTGAGCTGTCGCTACTGCAGTGTTGCTGCCACTCGCCCCTCAGTATTCACGATCCGTCTGTTCGTAGACGTCGCTTAAGGGAATACTTCCACCGTTTTGTGCTTGCTGATCTTAAAAAGGGGAGAGACGGAAATGATAAGGGAAATGCTTCAAAGTTGTGGTCCCTCTCGCTTTTTCATGTTGTAATCACGAGCGCCAAGAGGTCGAGTGGCAGTGCATTGCACTTGTCTTGCTCCAGAACTATCAGTCGCCTATACGTAGTCCTGCAAGCTGTAGCCAGTCTTGTTATCCAGCGGTGAGAGAGAACAGTACTGGTGCTGGAGCTGGTCCTGTTGCTGCTGTTGTTGCAGCAGTTGCTGCTGCTGCTGCAGGAGGAGTTTGTCAGGAGGGAGAAGTATCAAATCCTGTGGGCCGTGTCGCTTACCCGAGCAGGACAGACAGAAAATGGATCCACCCACGAGAAGGAAACCAGACGAGACGAAGGCTACGTAGACGGCACCGCCCGGCTCGAACTTGTTGCTTTCAGGCACATTGGCGTCTAGGAAACTGACAATAACCTCATTTGTGTACCAGGAGGCAGGGACAAGGCAGAGAAAGCCAGAGGCCAGAAAGCAGGTGCCGGCGGCCATGGCAGCGTGACGTTTAGCACGTGCAGGGGGCGAACTGGGCCCAGCCATCTGGTCGCCTGTGGGAATCTGCTTGAGAGGAAGAATACGCTGTGCTATCCATCACTGCCAAAGCTCTTTTTGCCAGAGCAGAACAACACTGAAATTGCATTCCTCCCTTCAGCAGCATAGAAATGCATGGCTGCATCCAAGCACAACACACACTTACTTAACTCTTGGCACAAGTTATATATGCAGGGGAGGGGACATGCTTACGACGGGGTGTTTGTGTGTACATGCATTGGCAAATTTGCACATGACATGCAACTCTTCTGGCTGTCAGAGGCAACATCCATAAGCTCTCAGGGAGAACGGGATGGCGAGCACTGAGGGAGGTGGAGCATGACACTGTGAAGTTTCTTGTACTTAAATGAATATTAATCTCAATGGACGGTATTTGTGGCATGCTGTCTGTTTACCAAAGACGGAAATCGACTTCTTAAGTTTATATGAAAACTGCATCAGTGGCAAGTGGCTGATTACTACTATCAAGTCTGTGAAGACAAATGGGAAATCAATTTAAAAGACATAATTCACCCAAAAATTTACATTTTGTCATCATTTACTTGACGTTCATGTTCCAAACCTGTATGAACTTCTTTCTTCTGTTGAGCACAAAAGAAAATATTTTGAAGAATGTTGGTAACCAAACAGTTCCTGGTAGCCATTGACTTCATACAAGTTCCAAAACTGTAGGAGTTCAAACTCATACCGGTTTGGGTCAACTTGAGGGTGAGTAAATGATGACAAAGTGTTCATTTTTGGGAGAACTATCCTTTCATAGTAATATCAATGGAAGGTATGTGAGCAGCACCGTAAATAAACACTTTAAATGTTTAACTGTTTCCCTTTCTCTGGTAATTGACAGGATGCCACAGATGATGTCCACAGACGTTAAGAATGATCTGAAATATTCTTTTAAGATGACGTAAAGAGCCCCTTGTAGGTGACAATCTGTCAGCAGATACACTGCTGATGCATTGGTAGGCAAATGTGGCTGCTTGTTCAAATTTGGAAAAAAGGAAAGTCATTTGGCAAAGGACTACTTCCTGTGAGAGTGGACACAAGCAGATTGCAGCCTTATCAGGTGCCACATGCTTCCATAAAATCGCTGCCAATTACCGAAACTCAATCTTGTCTTTGTTGATGTTATGTCTCTAAAATAAAACTGCTGCACGTATATTGTCTACTGATCATATTCTCAAGCTCGGGGGTGGTCAGATGTACCCTCCCATCTGAGAGAAGGGGTGTTGCAGAGGCTTGGTCTCTAGACACCAATCCTCTGCTGATGGCTGGAGTGATTTATGACAGCCTCCAGCTCGTCACAGACAGGACCACCATCCTCTGAGTGTGCAGAGAGACACGACCCCTAGACAATACACGTATTTGGGTGTAGAATCCCGTTCCCATGGCAGTGAGCAGCAGCATGAGTAAAAAGCACACATGCAGCATGGTAAGTGTATGAAAGTATGTGACTGAGAGAACGGCAAACAGCATGCCCTGAGCTGAAGGCAGCTTGCTTTTGTCTGGGGCAAAATACGAAAGTGTTGAACAGCACAACATTACATTGTCCATTTGACGTAAGAAGGGGCAGTGAAGGCTACGTAGACGGCACCGCCCGGCTCAAACTTGTTGCTTTCAGGCACATTGGCGTCTAGGAAACTGACAATAACCTCATTTGTGTACCAGGAGGCAGGGACAAGGCAGAGAAAGCCAGAGGCCAGAAAGCAGGTGCCGGCGGCCATGGCAGCGTGACGTTTAGCACGCCGTCCCCCACCCCAGCGAGTGCACTTTAAACCCAAAGAGGCCAAACACAATCCCAGTGCTGCCAACACGCAGGAAAGCACCATAGTGGTGCGTGCCGTCTGCAGGTATGCGGGCAGTGCCAGAACAGAGTATTTTAGTGTACAGCTGAACATGCCTGTGCTGTACCAGGTGCAGTCCATCCACAGCCCCTGCATCTGCGAGATGGCAGTGATGATGTTGGAGCCAACATCCGCGCTCACCTTCCAGTTAGGCAGTAACGTGGCCACCGTGGCACCTAGGATGCCTAGCAATGCCAGCACGAAGGCGAAGATCTGCGTGCCCGTGGACGCCATCCTGCCGCGTTCCTTAACTCTGCCAACATTCACACAAGCTTGCCTAGTCCCCTCTCTTTCGGCTGCAACTGTGACGGCAAAGACTCCTCAGCACCGCCGCCTGCCTGAGGAAATAAGTGAGAGAATTATCATTGGGTGGAGGATTTATGCTGGGTACACACCACAAGATAATCGGGATGATTTTGGGCCGATTTCTCCCCTTCCGACAATCCTAGGTAATGTCCCGATTATCTTGGTGGTTCTAAAGATTATTTTATCAGATTTTCCTGTGGTGTGAGGTGTGTTAAGAGTGACTGAATCTGCTCGGAAGAACGTCGGAGGCGCCCCCATCGCGAATCCTAAAATTTCAACATGTTGAATATTTACGATCAGAAATCCTGATGTGTGGGGGGAACATCGCGGCACACCACACACTATAGGAGCAAAACGGTTAAATCTAGGATTTTTTTGTCCTCATGTTTGTGGTCTCTCACATTTTGAAGATCTTATAAGATTTTAAAAATCTTTTAGTGTGTACCCAGCATAAGGCATGACCCTTTCACCTGCTATTAAAGGACTTTCACTATAGGGGCAATGCACCACAATCACCCTAATCAGGAACATTCACTCTGCAGGAGGATGGACTCACAGCTACTGCCCCTATAAACCCTACACCCCCCACCCTGCCATCCTCCATCCACCCTCTACTGGCTGCAGGGTGGGAGTGGCTATATGACATTGGTTTAGAAATCTATCTATCTATCTATGTTTTGTGTAAACAAATTCTATAAACACATTCAGGTTTAACAAATTACCAACAAATCAGTATTTTTCCATAGGTGAAGCTGAAAGTGTAGCATGCTCTTATATTTAGTGGTGATCTTCATTTGAATGCATTTGGGCCCTAGAGGGGTTTAAAAATGTTGTTGCTGGTTTGTGTGTCCTCACCTTGTGCATTTAAGTGCTGATGCTGGGATTGTGCTGGAAAATAAATAACTAAAATGTGTAAACAGTGTGTAAGTGGCTGACGTGTGAAGACACAGAAAGCAATTATATGCATGGTGCCTTGATTTTGTCACCCCTAGCTATCATGTGCAAAGGCTTGAGATGGACATCGAAATAGTCATTTCTTGAGGGATGGGATTTACTTGTGTGCTTTTTTATAGTTTAGGATAAGATCCATTTGTTATTCACATTTGCTGATGGAGACAATTCATTACCCTGCTGTAGCTGTTTGCCTGTAATGCAGATGTCAAAATGGTCTTACTGCAACTGCTACAGAAATGGCTGTTTAAATTCATTATAATAAATGGAAATTACTCTCTGCTGGGCAAGAGGGAAGTGCATGGGTTTCCACACTATACCTTGATTTATTGCTTCTGTGCTTTTTCTTGTGACTTTACTGTTCAATGAAATAGGAATGCTTTCCACTGATCTAGCATCCGTAAAGTGCTTAAATATAGGGCCACCGTTCATTTACCCCTCTTAACTTGCTTACCCTCCATGTCCATCTTGCCTTGTGTCTTCAGCCAGACACCGTAGAAGCCTGTAGTCTCGTGTAGGCTTGAGAGAGTCTCCATGAGAATCAATTCATATCTGAAAAGCACATCAGTAGTTCCTTTGGTTCCCATCGATGCCTTGGGCTGTTCATAAAGCGTAGGACGAACCATTCCTACAGTAAAAACAAGCCTCCATGGCAAAAGCACTGTCAGCCCACACTGCTTACCTTCTCACTTTCGGCTTCCTCATCTGAGCTAAAGTAAGAATGGTTGTCTTTTGAAAGTGCTGTCATGATTAATGTATCCCTACTCATTGTGGGACTATTTTCTTCTTTCCCTCACTGCATGCATACTCCATTGTTTCACTGGCAGTTATGTAAAGGAAATAATGGTTACTCAGATAGCCCTGAGGAACTGCCACCTCAATTTGATCATTCTCCATTAGAAATTCACACCCTTTGTATTAAGGGAGCACTTGCACTCAGGTGCAAATGAGAGAGAAGACCTATCTGTAGGGGGCAAATATAGTGTAGTGGTGCTGTTGAGTTTTACATGTAATGTGTGGAGGTTAAATAATGACAGTTTTTGCTGAAATTGACCCATATGGGTGTGTATAGGCCATTTGTGTTCTGCATTTATACCAGGATTAAAATAACCTGAGGAAAGGGGGAAGGGCAAGCTAGTGTGTGTATGCATACTGTATATAACTCTGCTTCTAAATCCTAAGATGTAAATATTGCATATTGCTCAGTGTTTCTTTGTGACTTCTTAGGGACTTGAATCTACCTGGTCAAAATTCCAGACGCTTTCACAGAGGGAAGGGATGAAGTGTCTCATTTTAAAACCAGCATCCCAAGCTGGGTAAATGACAAGTGGCCAAATTGATTTCTTGAATGTTGGTTCTCCTCCTGCATAACTGAGGCAGATGAGTCAATGCTTTCTGAAAGCTCTCGTCACATCTTTCCTTCTCTGTCATCTCCAGTGTATTGCTGTTTTGTAGCCCTAAACACCAGAAGGGCTCTTCAAAGCCTTGTATCCTGCTCCTAATTTATTTAAAATGGACCCAAGAGTGAAAGAATCTAGCCAAAGTCTAGGAAGCCAAGAGTCCTGCATGATTGCAGCTCAACCAGTTGGGTTTACAGTATGTTAAATCACAGTAAGGCATGCAGCTGAAATGCAGCACAAATCAATTTGCATTTTCTCTTTAACACCTACAACTAATTGTAGGTGATCTTTCGTATCTCCGTTATCTTCATCACACATCTCCATTCTGGGGGCATTCCAGCACATTTCTATAATTTAAGGCAAAGTATTACTGCTATATCCCCTAGATATTTAGGGTTGAGCTTTCACTTAATCGATTAAGTTCAGAATCCACACTCTGGATTAATACAGATAAAAATTTGTTCTGTTTCAGGTCGGTAACTGGTTGTGGAGCTACCAAAATTACGCCTTCCGCTACAATTACACGAGAGAAACCGGTTTTAGCATCGGCACAGCAGACGTCTGTGCCGATTTTGCATAATGAAAAGATGCACTGTCCTTTACTGCTGATCAGCGAACCAGGGGAGATAGAAGCTGAAGCATCCCCTACATCATCACTAGATAACCGGTTTTAGCATCGGCACAGCAGACGTCTGTGCCGATTTTGCATAATGAAAAGATGCACTGTCCTCTGCAGCGAACCAGGGGAGATAGAAGCTGAAGCATCCCCTACATCATCGCTAGACTGTGGCTATTAACATTTAGGAAGCAACAGTGTAACAAGAGACTTACTATTCACATTTGAAGAGACTTGTTTTGATGGTCCTTCAAACAGGTGTTACTGTAGCAACCGGAACTGGCTTGTCTTCGTGCAGCGTCACCCACCTCCTCCTCTCCCAACCCTCTGCTTTTCTTCACTCGTATATCCCTCTTGCGCTAGTTTCCATTCCGATTCTCCCCCTCACTCGAGTGGGAGTAGCTTGTGAAAATGGTCTCCAGGTCTGACTGTAACACTGTGTGTGTTTTCATCTCGTCACCCCGCGGTGTGCATAGGTGGATGTGGGGGTGGTGCACTTCACTCCGCTGGCTCAGCCCCAGATCCAGCAGCCCTTCAAGCTGGTCGAGAGGATTGTCAAAAATGCCTTCCAGTTCCGGAGGAAGCACTGCCGCAGAGGACTTGAGTAAGCATTTCCCTGGCATTCTGTAAGCTACTTTTCAAAACTCCTCTCTCTTTACCTCTATACTCAGTGTTTCATTTGACTACAACTAAGCACTGGATTTTAGTCAGGGTAGATACAGAGATATGAAGTACAGTGTTGAGTGTTAATCCAGCAAAACATTAAATACATACTTTGAAAAAAGTTCAGGGATGTCCAGTCTCTCTTCTGAAAGGCTACTGTCCTTCAAAGTTCAGCTCCGATCCTAATTAAACACAGCTGAATCTGAAGCGAATCAAGGCGTTCAGGATTACTAGAAACCTCCAGGCAGGTGTGTTGGGGCAGGTTGGAGCTCAATGCTGCAGGTAGTTGACCCTTCAGAAGCTGGAAGTTGGGAAGGAGCTCGCCACTGAAGGGAATGTGAGGGAGAACATTTGTAATTTCAGCAGCAACATCAACTGTGTGTCGCCTCTTTTCTAGTTTGACATGCGCTAAGCAAACATCCGCACAGACCATATAACGTCACTTCCATGCCACTTCTCAAGTTTTCTACGTTAACTCATTGTGTCGGCGTGTGATGACTGTTTTTTTTTCCTTTGCTGCAGGATGCTGTTCCCAGAGTCTCAGCGTCAAGAATTGACGGAAGAGTTGCTGCGCAGTGCTGATGTGGATCCCACACTGCGGCCCACAGAGATCTCTATTTCTGAATTCAGGGCTTTAGCAGACGCCTACAGTAAGCTTTGCGAGGAGAACCAAGGCCTCATTGACTATGACTTCAGAGAGGAACTGAAACTCAGGCATCAGGCAATGAGACAGTTGGGCAGCAACCGTAAAGGGCTTCACCTTCACACCACAATAGAGGAAAATGTTAACGACAAGCACTAACGCTGCAGACAGCAGACTCTTAATGGCGACATTTTCATCAGTTATCAGTAATTTTTTTTGTTTGTTTTTTTTCAGCTAAAAAAAAAACATTGAGTTTGACATTTAAGCACTCTGCAAGGGAAAGGTGAAGAAAAGCTTTTAGGAAATGCAAGGGGATTCAAAAAGTTATGGGAGATATAGTTTGAGAGCACTGAATTATCACATAAAGCTGCTTTGTAGGTAGGAAGGAAAATTAAATGAATCAATTCCAGTTCCAGTCTCCCTTTCTGTATTGAACTGAGGAAGAGAGGGGGTTGTCCAGGAAACCTGTCACATCATAAAGCAGCTATGGGAATGCTTTAATCAATTTACAGCTAGAGGCTGACAACCATCTGTCAGAGAAAAAAAAACATTTGCCATCATTACCTAAAAATAATTTGACTGATGAATAAATTATTTTTCCAAGGCTTTTTACAGTTTAAAAAAAAAAAATTGCTTAGACACTAAAAGTGGTGCTTTAGGCCCACTCAGTGAAACCATTCACTCACATACCTAATCTTTAGACCAAGTCAGCAAAACTATAAGCACATTACGTGCTTTAAACTCAGTTTGCTATTGTAAAACAAACTTTTTGCAAGACTCTAAATACAGTTCTCTACATTACACACATCATTCAAAACTAACAGCTCTTTTGTTTCATTTGGGAAACACTGCCACTTAAATGGCACACTCATTTACTGATGACCTACACCCAGTGATCATGTGTGAAAATACATACATAATTTGTTCACTTAGAAATCAAAACTGTTTTGTGTTTTGAGAAAGATTTACCCCCTTTCATTTCTGTTTACATTGTGTATATGTATATATATGATTATATATACATGTGTGTATATATATATATATATATATATATATATATATATACATGTGTGTGTACGTACAGTACATATACATGTAATTTCAGTATTCAGTTCAGTTGCATAACTGTAAAATTTATCAGTTGTACATACATACATACTGTATATACAGTGCATATGTGCATATGCATGTACTGTATGTGCGAGTGCTATGACAAACTCCTGTGCTCCACTGCAATCTGAACATGCAAAAGACACATGGGAGTAGTGTTTTACATTTTTTGTGTGTAATTCGGCGTGTATATGGCTAATTATTGTATGTTTGTGTGTACAATTACTATGAAAAAACAATTTTTAGAAGAGTTAGTTTTGAATGAAGTGTTTGCTTTTGCAAGATTCATGTGACGTTTTGCATGTTGTGTGTGTGTGTTTTGTGTGTAGAGTTTTGAGAAATTGAACCATATAGTTTAAAAAACTGTTTGTAAGCATTTTTTTTTTAAAACTGTAATGTGTGCTAATGAGATTTGTGTTCTTTGTGTCCCTAATGCCGAGTTCACACTGCACGATAACTAGCCTGAAAATAGCCCAATTGCTTTCGAGGGGGTCCCCCAGTAAAAATCGCGTTCGGGGGGTAAAATACAAATTTTTTTGGTGGGGTTCTCCTGGTACAATTCACATTCCAGGGCCTAAATATCAGGTTATTGGGGTCGCTTCAACCTGCTGACATGAAATCAAACGGCGGCAATCGCGGATTTGGCAAAACTGGTCGGCAAACTACGTTTCATATTACTCCTCCCCGAACTTCCCGCTGCCCTGTATCTTGGTCTCTCATTGGCTGTAGGTCATCGCCATGTGTTTTTCAGTCAGAACTCATTTCACACAGCAATCGCGGACAGCTCCAGATATTTAGCATGCCAAATATTTTGCGGGCGTCGGCGACGTGTCGGCGATTCCCTCAGATCGCGTCTTTGATAATTCACACTGCCTGATTGTCACTCGCGTGAACGAGCACCGATTTGCCTCCGATTTCGGGCATTTGTCGGCGATTTCACAAAACCTGTTGGCGAGTGAAAAATCGGGCTAAAATCGTGCAGTGTGAACTCGGCATAAGACTTGGCTCTTTTCTTCATAATGTTCAAATCGAATGCTGAATGCGTGATTCAATTGTCACTTAATGTGTGCATTTGACTCCTTTGTTTTTATCAAAAAAACAAAAATATTTTTTGCTGCTTTTTGCAAAAAACAGGAAATCATTAGGACAAAAAATTATTCAATGTAATCAGACACCTTTTTATTACAGTTTTGGGCTGTGAAGTGTCAAAAGTATATAAACTCTTAAAATTAAGTTACAGTGACTCATGAAAAAATACTATTTACACATTTAAACATTCTAAAAAAAAGGCTGCAGGCTTTATTTCAGAGGTACATTTCCAGCATAGCACATATAAATTCCTGAATGAATGGTTTCAGCTGACCATGATTTTGTAACAAAGGTATGGGCAGTGCTTAATTTGTAAATTGCGAGGTCCCGGAACAAAGCGGGGTGACCGACCCGGCAAGTTATCAGAGGAGGGAGAGGTAACGGAGCATTGGTGGACCAACTTAAGTGATTAACAGCTTGCATCAGTTGCTTTTATAGCCTGCTCTAAAACTCTAAAAGTACTCTAAAAGTTCATGGGTTATTTTATTTCAACCCAAACTGTTTTTTAGTGTTTGGGAGATTTTTGTGTAACCCAATTCCTGGGACAGGACAGTCGCAACAACCCAGCGGTTGTAATGAGTGCAGATATTTTGCATCCTCTTCAGGGGCCTCATTTATAAAATGTTGCATATAAACCGTCCTAAATTTGTTCTAAGATCATTTCTCAAAAGTGCATAAGTGCGATTCAGAGAAAACGAACATGCGCACAAAAACACGTGCGTACGCCTCTCTTCCAGATGTGACATTTATAAATCGCAAATGATCTTGAAATTGTGCGCAGCTGACTGGTGTCAGATCTCCGCCTTGTAAACGCCCTCTAATTAATATCATTACCATATAAAAGAGCAGACGCCAATATCCGACTTTCTATGCTTGAGAATGAAGAGCACAAAGAAAAAAAAAACTTTACTGAGTCTGAAACTGAGGTTCAGGAGGTACAGGTTCGTGCTAGGACGCTTTTTATTTAATAATGTGTAATTATTCTGTGGACAAACAATGTGTGCGTGGTTATATTTTTACTATTGACTATTATCAAAATTACTACCTCTAGAAACAACAGAAATAATAATAATAGTAATTATAAAACAATTAGGTTTCCAAAAGTAAGAATAAACTACGAATTCAAGTAAAATTCAGTCATCTTATAAAAAGTGAGCCATCCTACTTTTAAAGTCACTTGCTATGACAACTAATAAAAAGTTTATTATCATGAAATTCTTGCAAAACTTAAAAAACATTATTCAAAGAAAAATTGGACGTTTCATACACTATTATGGTCTCCTGTCTGAATAAACCTGCATGTGATTTGGCATTTCTTTATATTTACAGTATACTAATTCTGCTCAAATGTGCCATTAATGTACTGACACAAAAATATATAGTGTATTTTTACTGTAACTTCGCAAGTTCTCTTGTAAAATAAAATAATAAAAACAACATGGACTAAACTGCACAGAAAGCGAGTAAAGAACTTTCAACATTAGGATACTGAAAAGGTCAGTTTAATCTCGCAAAAGCTCCCGTTAATAAAAAAAAAAAACGCTAAGATCAAATCTGTGCGTACGCACATTTTATAAATGAGGCCCCAGGTGAGAGTGGTTCTCAGTGCTGCCGACTTGCATTTCTTTCGTAAAATATAGGTTTGTGTATGTTTTATGTAAACTATAAAAGTTTTTTTTTTTTGCTGTAAATAATTTTATTTTATGCAAAAGAACGATGTCAGTCACCTGAACGAATCGCATCGGTCTTTTCGTGACGATTAAATGATTAATTTTTACTTCTAAAATGCTTGTTAAACGAGTTTAAAGGTAAGAAATAGCGTGTATTTAAATGCTAAAATATGTTGTATTAAGAAATGTATTTAACGAAAATAAAGGCAATTATCCTGTAAACCTATGTTTGTGTGGAATATTTAAAATTGTGGATTTAATTCTGTTTAAGAAGTAAAAAGCTAGTATTTTTGTAAATAAACAAAGAAATAAAAGAGAATTCGCTATTGTTCCACATTTCCAATTAAGCATGAAGCTTCCCCTCCCCTCACACAAGCAAATCAGTATCCACCAATTACAGTAGTTTATTGCCGTGGAAATAAAACCCCCAAAACCTGGCATGGATAACACACACAATTAATTTCTTACTTTTATTTATTATCATTTTATATTTAAAGGGGATAAAGATATTGACATAACCATTATTATACATCCACCAGCATCTTTCACTGGCGCGTGAGGAGGGGGATCCGCCAAATGAGGTGCTGGATCCGGATCCGCCTTGTTCCGGCACAAATTAAACCCTGGGTATGGATAGTTTGTCTGTTAAGATCTCCTGCCAAAGTCTTAACCCATTTTGGATTCCTATTAAAAACCTGCTAATAAATAAAATGTTTTATACAAAGCAAACCCACGACAAAGATAAGTAATGCTTCAATTTAAAGCAATAAGCATATGTAGTGTCCAAAGCACAAGGCAAAATTAAAAACCTGACAGAATTCGGTTCTTGTAGTTGGATAGTTCATTGTATGTTTGTGTGGGAGAGCAGAGTGGTCTTAGTTTTGCATCAGGATGCCATGTAAGAAGAGTAAAGGCAGGTAATTTGGTTCTCTGGTGCAAACAGTTGCTATGTGGCCAGTTCAGTAAATTAGTGCTGTGGATCATGGAGAATTATGAAACGCTTAACACCATTTTGAATGAAGG